GCCCCAGGGAGGGGGGCCCACTCACAGACAGGTCACTGGAAAAGAGGATCTCCACTGCCTGTGTAGCAGGGAAGGAGCCAGCCCAGTAAAAGGCCTGAAGGCAGCCACCAACCCACCAAGCTAACAGGAGAGGCTGGATAAGGGGAGAGGGCGGTCAAGTGCAAGATCTAACTAGCTTGACATCTGGGACTGTTCTAAATTAATAGGCCTCCTCGGTGGTGCATGTAGAGGTTGTGTTGTCACAGGCAACACTGAAAGTGGGTGCCCCCCCCCCTCTCATGCTTTCTCCGCGCCACTCTCTGCCAGCCAGCCTCTCCCCCCCCCTCCCCGGCCCCCCTCCACCGCTACTCCCTGACACAACTTCTCCCCGGCCCTGCCGCCCCTCTCTGACACCCTCCCTCCCCCCTGGGCCCCACTGCCACCACTCCCTGACACCCCCCCTCCCCCCTGGGCCCCACTGCCGCCATTCTCTGCCAAACACAACCCATTCTCTTTCTAGTTCTGGAAGTGTCCTCCTCCTCCCTGTGCTCTCATGGTCTCTGCCAGTTTCTCTCTCCTCTCAGGATTGGACCGTCTTACTTTATCCTGCCCCATCCTCTCATGGGTCTAGGGCTGCCACTAGAATCCAGGGGCCCTGTACAGTCTACCTGACAGGGACCCCTCCCCCCACAAAAATATGAAAATTATCACTAAAAATACATAAAATCATTATTAACAGACAAAAACATAACATAACTTACAACATGCTGAATTTAAAATATGAAACTGTACTGAGTTAATAAATAAAGCTCTCTAGTACAAATCCTCTCCAGCCCCCCCCCCCCCCCCCAGAACAAATCACCCTACCAGCACAAATCATTTCCACTACCAGCACAAATCATTCCCACTCCCAGCACAAACCCACCCAAATCCCCCTCCCAGCACAACTACCTCCCCCAACACAAATCCCCCCTAACACCCCCCTTCCCAGCACAAATCCCACCCTAGTCCCTCCTCCTAGCACAAATCCCCCCCAATCCCCTCCCCCAGCACAAATCCCCCCAATTCCCTCCACAAATCCACAACCCCCTCCCAATTAACATTCCCAGCACAAATTCTTCCACCCTACTGTAATCCCCCCCCCCCCAGCACAAATTCCCCCCATCCCGCCCTCTTAGCACACATCCTCCACCCCCCCCCCTCCAAGTACAAACATTCCACCCAATCCCCCCCCTCTGGCTCAAATCCCCCAAACCCTCCTACTAGCACACATCACCCACCATTCCTCCTTCTAGCAAATACCACCCCCCAAATTCCCATTACACTTCCTAGAAAAGGTGGAGGGGAAAGAGCCAGGAGGAGGTGCTCCGTGTTCTCTGGGCTCTCCCTCTTGTCAGAGCAGCGCTCGTCCATGCAGCACATGAGACAGGAACACTGATAGATTGTATGGGACTGTACACACACAGTATGATTACCACCCCCTACCTCCTCCAAGGGCTCTCCTCTCCATACTCGCTGTCAGCATGAGCAGAGGACTGCCAATAACCAGCATTTTCTTTTTTACATGCAATCAGCTGTGATTTGATACAGCTGATCATATGACAGAGCCGATGTCATCAGCTTTTTACAGTGTGTCCCAGGGACACAGCACATCACCGCTTGCCGTAGCTTGCATGCGCAGTTAGAGTGGGAGGACGTCATATGACGTCCTCCCAGAATGAGAGAACCGCCACCCGTCCGTCATTTCCTTATATGGTGGGCAGGAGGTGGTTAAAGAAGAGATTGTTGCTAACCGAATCTTTGTACATAGGAGTTGTCTTCAAATTCTACAGTTCCTTAGCCATCCATACACCCCTGGACCCCATCCCAGTTTATCCAATTAATAAAAACCACAAAACCAAACTCAAGGACTGTCCATTGACTCCAGTGTGCAAAGTGTGAAAATGTGTGTTGCCTGGCCATGCAGAGCATAGGGGAACCCAAGAAAAATCTGGTGACCCCTATGAGGGTAGTGTTACATGTATATACAGTACCTCTATCAATTATTCAGCATTTTGAGCTCAAACATTGCGAGCCTGGGAAGTATCGGGAGCAGATCTGGCCTACTTCCTATCCTAAGTGGAACAGACATCCAACATCTCTCATATATTTATATTCATTCAAGAGGTAATTTTGCACTGGACAATATTGTACAAGTTGGCAGACTGTAACCTTTAGGTATTCAAAGATAATAATACCTATAGAAAACTGGATCTGTGGCATGATCCAGTGACATCACTGTGACATCCCAGGGACCACCACACCTTAGACCTGGTAAATGGCCAGATCAATTCTATCAACACCTACTCAAGTCCAGAGAAGAGGGTCTGTAAACACACCTGACAGTTCTCATTTTAGAGCCACTCATCCACCTTCATTACTTGGACTGCTGAATGCTCAGAACCAAGACATTGCTAAGTATTTCAAACCTTAATGCCTTTCTATCTCTCTGTTACATTATTGTCTCTGTTTTCTTAGTAATACCCTTTTTTATGTAAACATGTTTTTTGCACCATTTTTACCTTTCATTATAAAACAATCTTTTGAAAAGTGTTAAGATTGTCTCTAATGCACTAACATAAAAATTAGAATCCCCGTCCCTTGAAGAGCACTACTATAGAATTGCTATTGCTATTGCTAATATTGTGAACAATTGATATGGTGGCAGCGAAAAGAGTTCATTGCTTAGCTAACCAAACCCAGTGACAATCACTCTCAGTCTATTGGCATTTAGATTGTGGTCCCGCCAGCTGGAAAATTGTTTGTGCAGGTTGGGGCTGAGAGTGCCAGCAGTGGTGTGAGTTTGGCCAGCCATTAGCCACCAGCTGTCAGCAGCACCTCCAATATGATGTTTAGTATGATGGGACACCCCCACCCCCCTTTGTATAATATAGACTATAAAATAAATGTACAGTACAGCCCCCAGTATGATGATATATATATATATATATATATATATATATATATATCACACTGTGCCCCCCCCATGTGTTATACTGATGTATGGTAATGGTACAATATCACATTGAGCGCACTGTGTACCCCCACCCCATGTGTAATATAGAAATCTAATATACAGTACAGCTCCCATTGTATGATGGCATTCTGTACAGCCACCCCCATCCGCCCAAGCAATGTGTAATATAGAATATGATATACAATATAGAGCACACACCCCCCCTCCCCCCAGTATGATATATAGTATGATGGTACATTGTGCTCCTCCTCTGCAATTCTCCTCTCCTCCAGCAGGGGTCGCGGCTCTCACTGTCTCTCCTGCGGAGGTTCGGTGCTGTACATCGTCATCTTCCTCCTGATCGGGGAGAGATTCGGGGCCCCTGACACCTCCCGGAGCCCCATAACCTGCATCTGACGACAGCTGAGAGCCTTCCAGCCCGGAATGTCACATTTGCCTCTCCGCACAGCAGCCAGCAGCCTCCTCGGGTGTCACCCCCTCCTCCAATACTGCACCCCCAGGTCAGTGCAGCCCCCCAGTACACCCCAATCCGGGCTCCTCCGCCGGGGGAGGGGTGCTGTACCTACTACCTCCTAGCGCAGCCTTGCTGCTGGGCTGTCATATCACCTATAGATTCTATACCCCTCCACCTGTCACCCTGCTTACTGCACTTCCTATACACCCCTGTACCATTATAGGCAGTCACACCCCCTGTACATCCTATACCCCCTGCACCCATCACCCTGCAATCACATCCCCTATAGATCCTATATCATCTGCACCCATCACCCTGCAATCACACATCCTATAGATCCTATACCCCCTGCACCCATCACCCTGCAGTCACATCCCCTATAGATCCTATACCCCCTGCACCCATCACCCTGCAATCACATCCCCTATAGATCCTATACCCCCTGCACCCATCACCCTGCAATCACACATCCTATAGATCCTATACCCCCTGCACCCATCACCCTGCAGTCACATCCCCTATAGATCCTATACCCACTGCACCTATCACCCTGCTTTCACCCCCCCCCCCCCCTTGAGATCCTATATCCCCTGCACCCATCACCCTGCAGTAACGCATCCTATAGATCTTATACCCTTTGCAGCCATCAACCTGCAATCACGCATCCTATAGGTCCTATACCCTTTGCAGCCATCACCGCTGCAGTCACACATCCTATAGATCCTATACCCTTTGCACCCGTCACCTTGCAATCACTCATCCTATAGATCCTATACCCTTCGCAGCCATCACCCTGCTGTCACGCCCCCAATAGACCCCATTTCCCCTGCATTCATCACCCTGCTTTTACACCCCCCTATAGATCATATACCCCCTGTACCCATCACCCTGCAGTCACACATCCTATAGATCTTAAACCACCCACATCTTTATATCCCCTCTATCTGTCACCCTGCTTACAGCACCTCCTATAGATCTCCAATACACCCCTCATCACTATACCCAGTCTCACTCCCTAAGCCCCTGCATACATCGCTGTGCTGTTCCACCTGCTATAGATTCTATACCCTCCTACCTCTATATCCTTTCACACTCCCTATACCACAAAACACGTCACCGCGCTATCCCAACCCATAAAGGTCATATGCGCAGTCAAATCTGCTATATATACTGTACCCTCTGTACTGTTATATTTCAGGTCCTATAGATTGCAAACAACTTGCACCTGATAACATGCTATCAGGCTTTCTATAGAGTCTATGCCCCCTGCATCTGTCGCTGTGCTACATCCTGCTTCTGTGCCAGCTGTACCATACCATAACTGACATCTGTATGAGGTTTTTGTCATTATGCCTGACCCTTGAATGAAAGAACACATTTAAAGGGCCAGGACCCTTTCCCACACTCTAGTGGCAATCCATTTTAGTGTCCCCATTTCATCCTGATTCAGCACTATCATCCGACAACCTGCCCCCTCCACTCTCCCCCCTGCCCGTGGCCCCCTCGTGCCCCCCCTCCTTGGACTCATCCTCCACCTCTTCCACTCTGGGGATGACCGCCGGGGAGTTTGCACATGGGGGCCCGGGGAGGCTGCCTCGAGGGGGCCCTGGCTGTGCTTTGCGTGGCTGCTACAAGATGCTGTCTGTGTTGCTGCTGCTGGCTCAGGGCGCCCTGCTGGATCTCTACCTGATCGCTGGCACAGACTTGTACTGGTGCTCCTGGATTGCCACTGACCTGGTGGTAGTAGCTGGATGGGGGATATTCTACTCCAAAAACAGCAGAGGCCAAAGAGTGTTCCAAGGCTCGCTCAGCTCCTCTGGTTATGGTCAAGTCCAAAGGCCGAAGAAGGGCCAGTTTGCCTATAGTCACCTGGCTTGGCTGATCTATGCCATAGCTTTCACACCCAAAGTGGTCTTGATAATTTGCACCCCAATAGTGGATCAGATCGAGGCTGGGGTACCCCTGGGAAGCACTGGGTTCCGGCTTACAGTCTCACTCTCAGTTCCTCTGCTCTGGGCCTTAGTCCGCTCATTGAGTGTTGATCCACGGGGATGGCAGCACCAGAGAGCTACAGGCTACCTCATGGCCTCCTGTTTGGACCTGCTGGATAGCTATGCCCTCTTGGAACCCATGCTGGAAGGCAAGCTACCCCTCATGCCTTTCATTCGTTACCCATTACTGGCTGTATACTTTGTGGCATTGGCTTCACCAGTCCTGTGGTTGTCCGAGCTGGACTCAGGAGTTCCTGCTGGCTGCTGTCGTCTCTTTCTTCGCCTTCTCTGTGGCACTCTGGTGGATGGCCCTCTCCTGGCAGTCCGATGTTTCTTGATGCTAGGCTCGCCCAACCGACCCTTCTCCGTTTTTATGCTGAAAAATGTTTTTTTTTTGGTCTGCCGCTGGCTGGAGGTCCTGGAGCTCTGCTGCCTCCTCAGGACCCCAGAGCCCGACCTTGCAGACCGACCCCCGGGACAGTTCAGCCATTGCGTCTCTGAAAATGATATGGGGCCTCATGCTTATGTCAACACCTTGGCTGTGACATCACAGAACTGAACTTGACCGGAACACAGGCCCCCAACAATGAACCTTTTGGGTTTTTTTTGTTTTGTTTTTTTTGTATTGCAACTGCCAACACTGCCAAGAAACCATCAACAAGTCTTATCAAGGAAAATCACAGGTTACCTTTTGGTATTTTTTTTTATGACAAGAGAAAATCAGATGTCAAACATTATTTTTAATCCAATATTGACAAAGTCCAAGATCCAACCCTTAAAAAAAAGATAGTTCTGTAAATGATGCATTTACCTGAAGTTCTCCTCCAAAAAACTCACTCCAAGATTATAGAAGATCAGGATTTGATCATTGCATAAGTGATTTGATGTTTGCATGGTGATATAAAAAACAGAACAATCAGTACACAGACCTCCCTCTTATTAGGCACTGCCAAATCTAACTGAATTTTTGGGATTGTACAATTTGGTAAGGGAGAACACCAGTGGTCTTCACCTGTTGGGAAATATATTTGTGAAGGTTCTTAATAGTTTAGGTCAAGGTGAATCTAGTAGCAATTGATTACATTCATCTGGACTTGGTCTGTAATGTGGATGACATTTCACAACTTGTCCAAATAGACATCCTCAGCTGAGGACACTTCTGAGATGAGTAGATAAAGGTCTTCAACGTCAGGGACGAAGTCCAGTTGAATGAGGCTAATTAGAAACATAAAAAAGTGACGGCAGAAAAAAGACCAAGTGGTCCATTGAGTCTGCCCTTTTCTTTCTTTTTTTTTTTGTACTACTAGGTTTGCCATATTCTATTTATGTTTGATGGATTGATAGTCTGCTAGCAAAATGGGTCATGTAATTTGCAGATCATGGTGAAAGTACAACTCCAGGAAACATAAAAATCCTCCCTTGCAGCACTCACTGGCTGCACTTAGACTGTAATATTTAACTGCTTGTTTAGGGTTGGGGGACATAGAAAAGAAGTTTAACTTGTCCAATCCTCCGAACTTCTGTGCTGCTAGACTGGTCCTTGCAGCATTGTCTCCCCCATGCTCCTGCAGTCTAAGCAGTAGTCTAAGGTCCCGACGCCATCAAGACTGATGTAGGGTGCATTGGACGTGGTGACGCCCACTCCACAGAGTTGGTACTGGTAGGAGGGAGAGGGGTTTGTGTAAGTAAACGTGCTTTTACTTTCCCCTAGACTAAATGGGTAGTTAACATTTGCAATGTGGGCACAGCCCCACTGCAAGGAGGAATTTTCAAATTTCTTGGAGTTGGGCTTTAAAGCTGAACTTCAAGCTAATATAAAGACATAATATTTCATGGAAAAGTGTATTTTTTAAAAAATAACCTTGAATGAATTTCATACAACCAGGAACTCCCCAGCATGCACAGACCAGAGATATGCTGCTTCTCCATTGTCCAGTCAGAAGGTCTAGGAGGCAGGTGACACTACTCTGTTCCTTATTTCTAACAGCAAAATTATTGTCACCCTCCTGGTGGTGATGTGTGGCAGGCTGGACAGAGTTATAAATCACTTTAACAGTTCACATATTTGTATTTCAATGTTCATTTTAGTGTTTTCCTGGAGTTCAGCTTGCCGTAGGGAGAAGACATATTTAATTGCCACCAACTTGATGCGTTTTCACATGGAAGAGGGAGATCTTGGAGTAATATTTAAATTTTCCAAAATTACATTTGTAATTGCTCTATTTCTGCCATAAGCCGCTGAAGATGTGAACAAACATTTGTAAATCAAAACTGGGTAATTTTTCAAAGGTTCTCCTTATTTTTTTGCTAAATAAATTAGGTTCTTTAATTATTGCAATATACTACATGGAAGAACACCCATTGTGTTCAGAAATTATTGTATACGGCTTAAGTAAGGTTTAAATCCCTGATAGTTTTAGTTCCGAAATATCATTTTTGTGTTGGGAAGGGGGGGGCTTTGGCAGAAATACAGTATTATTTGAAGTCTGTATAAAAAGTTTTATATGCAAAAATAAGGGTTTGTTTTGTCATTATTTATTGCTCGAAGGGCCTGAACGACCCAACAGTGTATTAGATGTGGCCATGCCCCTGTTCTCCAGGTTGTGAACATGCATGCTGATCTAAGTGTGAACCTTCAAAAGACATAATGCAGTATTAAGAAATCTTCAGTTCTCCATTTCCATAAATGTTCTGTATTTTCAAAAACAATTTTCTTAAGACTTTTTTTTTTCTGGTATTTGGATCATTTTGTAAAGCCAGTGTTCAGGACATTTGTTTTTGTGTACCATCTCATAGTAAATACAAAAAGACAAAACGGAGAGAGACACGTAAAGGTGCTCAACATCAAAAATAGCTGCCTTGTTCTATGATGATGTCACACTGGACTCTCAATACTTGCTTGTTACCTCATAAGCTAACCTAAGACATCAAAGTTAACAGGTCAATTGTAACATCACAAAGCCAACAAAGTATCCTGCAAAACCATCGCCTGAGGGCACCCCCGTTAAGGGCTGGTCTAATACACCATCTTTTTCGATTGTCAATGCAACAAGGCACTCAGGAGTCCCATGTCGTATACAATTCCCACTATCCAAGGGCTGTCTGTCATGATTCTCTTGCTCAGCAATTCTCAAGGTCAACTGCCAGTAACACAAAATTGCAGCTTGGATAAGTCGCCAGCGTTTTTTGAAGTTGTCGCTGTATTATGGACTCTGTACAATGCATGTGATGGGTTTAAAAAAAATGGTATTTTTGAAGAATTTATTAGTGCTCGTTACATGAGAGTGAAATCTTTTTCTTTTTGTGTGCAAAGATAACATCGGTTTGATTAGGTCACAGGTGTAGGTATTTAAACTGGAAAAGAGCAACTGTGACAATAAGGCCTTGTTTAATAGATGTTTGAGGGAAAAACTATCTCAGGCAGCCTGTAATGCCCATAGCAGCCAAATTGTCTCAGCATGGTATGGTAAGATGTTGGTTGCTATCAGTAAAATAGGCTACCAAGGACAGTTCTACAGGCCTTAAGTGAGGAGTGAAAGATGGAAGAGTTTTAGCAATGGCTTAATGAATTGTTTAAGGTTCACCACGTGAACAAAATCAAACCGAAAATCTTTCTACTGATGCAACTTTTACCTCACATGTGCGTGACCAGTGCCTGTATTTCGTGGATGGTTATTAAATGGTGTCAAGCTCGCAGACTTCGTTATGTGTGATGATTATGGTTTGGAGATTGGTGTGTAACTGGAAAGGTTCTTTGGACAACAGTGTTTCCACTAAAATGGCCTCTGGTCTTCAAATCAGCTGCCTTTGTTTGCATAAATGATGTTCATTCTGTTGGTCTAGACCAGGGGTCTCCAAACTTTCTAAACAAAGGGCCGATTTCCTGTCCTTCAGACTTTAGGAGGGCCGGAGTGGCAAGTGGGAGTAGAAAAGAAAATGTCCCAGCGTCAGTAGGAGTTAAAAAAAAATGACATAGTGCTTGTCAGTGGAAGGAGAAATAGTGTCCAGTCATTGGTGTTAGTTGGAGGAACAGTGCCCCATCTTTAGTGTCAGTGGGAGGAATAGTGCTCCATCATTGGTGTCAGGGGGAGGAAGAGTGCCCCATCATTGGGGTTAGTGGAAAGAATAGTGCCACATTATTGGTGTCAGTGGGAGGATAGTACCCCATCACTGGTGTCAGTGGGAGGAAGAGTGCCCCATCATTGGTATCAGAGGAAGGAATCATGTCCCATCCTTGGTATTAGTTGGAGGAATAGTGCCCCATTGTTGGAATTAGTTGGAGGAATAGTACCTAATTGTTTATATCAGTGGGAGGAATTGTGCCCCATCATTGATGTCAGTGGAAGGAAAATTGCCCCATAGTTGGTGCCAGTGAAAGAAATGGTGCCTCCTTGTTGGTATCAGTGGGAGGAATAGTACTCAGAGGGCTGGATAGAGACAAGCAAAGGGCCGCAGTTTGGAGACCACTGGTCTAGACCAACCATTCCCAAGCAGGTTTCCATGGCTCTTAAGGGTTTCTTCAGAGGTTGCCAGGGGTCCCTTGAGTTGTAGCTGATTGACTTCCTATCTGATGGTGCCTGCATAGTTCCAGGACCAGGACCTCTTGGGAAAACCAAGAGCATGACACAATTATCTTTTTAGCTGACTGTAGGGATGGCATTCTAATCACTTTATGGATTGTGTTCTTCATACATACCACCAATATAGGGGGCATTTTTCCTATTGACCTCTGAAAAAATGGCTTTTGTAAAGTGATTGTAAAGCTTTCTTTACAAAAAAAAAAATTATTTTTACCTGCTGTGTGCAATGGTTTTGCACAGGGCATCCCCGTTGAGTGCCCCCATGGGAAGCTGCTGCCTATGGGGGTACTCGTGTGTGCTTGATCCAACACTGGACTGTTTGCATCTATTTAGACACACAGCCGGTTCAACCCCACCCCCTGCTCTATGCTCACAGGTTTTGAGTGACTGCAGCAGGGGCCAATGGCTCCCACTGCTCTCAGCCAAGCCTGGGAAACTAGAGAGGGAAGAAGAGCTGCTGCAGATGTGCACAGCCCTAGATCAAGATTTGGCTCAGATACGTATTTAGGGGGAACTAGGTGTGTGCTACTGTTAAAAGGTTTGTTACCTTAAAGGATACATTCACCTTTAAAATAAACAAATAAATGCACTTTATCGTACAGGTAGGCACTTACACAATGACAGGAATACTCCACACTTGATCTTAGCCAAAAGGCCAAGAAGCGATGACAGGAATACTCAATGAACTACCACAGCACAGCACCCTGGTAGTTCATTGAGAACTACAAGCCGACAGCCGCAAAGGGTGGTACATGTAGAACTTTGTGAATGAATGATGCAGCTGTGAGGATGGAGCCCCACACAGCCGAGCTCCTTTCAAAAAGTGACTGCTGGTACGGGGAACTTCTCCATGTTCTGTCATACAGAGGCAGCAGATCACCAAGCGGCTACAGGAGTGGGAGCATGTTATATGCTCCATCCTAATGTTCCCAAAGGTGAACTTGAACCTGAAAATGATTTTAATGATATATTCTCCCAT